AAAATTTAAAAAATATATATAACAAAAAACCCAATCCACGTGTCAACATAATCTCCATTAAAAGAAATACCCCTTCATCCCTTTACCTTTCTTGTTTTCTCCAATGTCATTTTCCCTCTTTTCTACCATTTTTGCTCTTTTTTTTTTTTTTGCAACAGGTTTTATTCTTCTTTGCTTGAGCAGTGAAAATTGTCACAAAGGACACTCAGATCCCCCAAATCCTTCAAATTATCGTTGTTGGTGGACATGGAGTCCGATGTTGTCATAATCCAATTTTTCATTTGGTTTATTTAGATTTTTCAAAAAAAATAAAAAATATATATATATCATTTTGTTTTCTAAAAAATCCTCAAATGACTTTACACGTGCGGAATCTGAATGCAAGCATACCACTTACTTTTCTGAAAAGTAAGAAAAAGGATTTTTCTCAACAACTCTCTCCTTTCACGCGATCAACCTCCATTAGGATGGCTAGAAGAATGTTGGTTTAAGATTGAATTTTGTACCCTTCAGACGATTTGCAAGAGGGAAGGATGCCTTCTTGCAAAATGGGTTGCAAATCTGCCTTGAACAATCCGAAGGACTTTACCAATATCATGAATTTCAGTTAATAGATCCAAAATGAATTGAATGAAATGCAAATTAGAGTAAACTTTATGTTTATTGCATGAAAGGAAATCAAAGAAGCAATTATACAAACTAATTTGGGTACTTGAATAATAAAAACAACTTAAATCTACTGGGATCTGTGCTAAAATTGAAATATAAAAGTTAAGGTGAGCAATTACTACGAAACTAAAGAATTGAAAATTTGATGAGTTTTTGTATAGGGCTAACTGTGTGTGTTGAAACATCTGAAACCTTCTATTTATACATTTCCTAATAATTACCTCCCTGCTTCACTTGCTGGTTGTTCAGATCATGGATAATAATTTCCTCAATTCTAAGGATTACTATTTTTGTTAAATTTAAGCTACAACAAATCGGATAATCTTTATTCTCCCAACTAATTTTCAGATATGCATCCTTTCAGTCGATTTGATCTCACTTTATCCATTAACATGTGGCATCACTAAAAATAAATGCAGTTTATGGTGTAAACCATTTAAAATTAATCAAGGAAATCATACAAATTATAAAATGTGAAATATAACACAAAAATATCAAAATATGAAAATTTCTCTTTTCTTTAACTAACATATACTTTATTTTGCTTTAGGTGCTACATGCAAAAAGAGAAAATTTTATGAAGAAATTTGAAAAAAGAACTCAATAAAGGGGTGTATGTGAAGAAAGTAAAATTAGGGGGTGAAATCCACTAAGAAAAACCAACAAATCCAACTCAAACCCAAATATTGAGGCCACTAGCACTACAAGAAAATCCACATTTAGTGACTAAATTATTGATCATTAAATCTTTATTTTTTGTTATAAATTATTATTAGTAATAAAATTTAAATCGTTAGTAAAACCCTTGTCACTAATACTCTTAATGATAAATTAAGCACTTGTCATAGAAAATAATTTTATAGTGATAAAAAAAATTGATATTGTTAACAAGTTATTTATAACAATTTTATTCGTCACAAAAAAATATTCGTCACAAATGCAATTATGATGTAAAATTTAGTCATTAATTATTAAAATTGATATTAAATAAAAAAGATATTTATATAATTACAACACAAATATTTTAACAAAAATTTTGTCACAAAAAAATAATATATAAATTTATCACAAAAGTTTAATAAAAAATATTATTATTTCAATACTAATCAATTTTGATTAAAATTAATCAAGCCCAATTAAAATTAATCAGGCTCAAACTAATCTCAAGTTTTATTGAGTTTCACATGTTTTATAATGCAAAATTTATTTTCTTAAATATTTTTTTATCGATGTGGGATATATTTATAGTACAAAACTTTATTCTCTTATATGTTTTTTATCAATGTGGGATGCATTGATTAGAGAAAATTGATAATTTTTAGTGACGAAATATATTTTTAGTGATAAATTATTTGGTCATCATTGAATGTGTAAGGTATATGTGACCAATATTAGAATTTTGTCATAATTGTAATGCATTATAGTGATGATTTTTATTGACAAAAGCTTATTTTATCTTTATGAACAATTTTCGATGACGAAATATATTTTTTATGATAACTTTTTTTGTTCATTATTAAATATATATGCATCTGTGATTAATTTTTTAGATCTATCACAATTGTGAATATCATTATTTGCTGTTCAAAAAAAAAAATTTTTTAGATCTATCACAATTGTGATAAGTTATAGTGATGATTTCAAAATTCATCATAAATTTTTATCACTAAAAATCATTTTTCTTGTAGTGTAGCCGCTTTCACAAATCAACCCATTAAAACTCAAACCCAAAAAATCCTAGTTTTCCTTTTTCTTTAAAGGGTAGAGCCACACAAAAAAAAAAAAAAAAAGAAAAAAAAGAAAAAAAAGGAGGCTACAAATGGCAAAAAAAGAAAAAAAAAAGGTCGATTCTTCTTCCATCTAGAATCCCTTTTCTCCATTTTTTTCTTCGATCAACAGCCTCCATTTCCATCACCGGTCATCACCTGATTCTTCTCCCATCTAGAACCCTCTTTCTCCATTTTCTCTAATCTTCAGTTTTCACCCCTTCCGTCACCGATCACCATTCTCATCACTTGTTCCTCATCATCGATCTACTCTCCTTCGCCTAACAACAGTTGCAAGTCATCTTCTCTGTCTCACAGCAGTTGACCAACCATCAAGGTGATTCCTCCACTCCATGCAAAATTGAGATTTCAAACGATTTTATCATGAAACTGCAATTTTACAATTTTTCCTTCCGATTTCATGAGATCCCGATTTTAACGTAGATTTTACTCGAAATACATATCTAAACTTGTAAACTCGTAAAATCTACAATTTAAAACTCGATTTTGACAACCATGACTGTGACTTTGAATTTTGAGTTTTTAAAATTTTAAATAAAAATAAAAAGTTTTACAAATTAATTAAATTTAAAATTTTAAATATTAATTTAAAAAATTTATACTCAATGAATTATTAATTTTAATTTTAATTTGTAATTTTAATAGTTTAAATTTTAAAAAGTAAAACCAAAAACATAAATCAAAAATAATAATCATACTAAACTAAATCTTAAAATATAAGAATAATAACAAAACCAATTAAATCATCATTAAATTAATACATAACAAAAATTTATTAAAAATATTCAAATAATTTCATAAAAAAATCCTAAGATTCTAACATTACATATGATTTGAGAAAAATAACAAGGAGACAATGAAATTTTTTTTTCCTAATTAAATTATAATATTAAATATTATAATTTAATTAATTAAAAAAAATTTCCGTTCCACTTTATTATTATTATTTTTCAATCTAAATGTACTATAAATATGAAGCCATGTTGATTTCCACTTTTCTTACTAAGAGCCTGTTTGGTGCAGATTGTGAGAAGAGCTTTTTGGCTCGAAAAGCACAAGCTGCACCAAACGGGTCAGCTTCCAGAACTTGCTGCAGCTTTTGAGAAGCTCAGCTTCTCGCCCTTCTTTGCAAAACCTAGAAGCTCCCATTTCTTTACTTCCACGGGAGCTTCTCACTTCTAATTTAATGAAATTGACATGGTCTTCCCATTTTATCCTCACACTTCCTTTTATTTAAGAAAAAACTAGTATATAAAGGACCAATTTATAATCGAACCAACCAGCCCTAGCCACATTTGTTTCTTCCTCATCCAATCACAGAAACAAATCGAAAATACTCATCCAATCACAGAAACAAACCAAAAATACTCATCCAATCACAGAAACAAACCAAAAATACTTAACTATATTATTCCTCATCCAATCAAAGAAATAAACAGAAATCCTTACCGTATTCTTCCTCATTTTCTTTTCCCCTAAACCAAAAATCCCCTCAGCTTCCGTTCGGAGACGAACCCAGGAGCTGGGTTCGCGGCGAACCCTGCGCTTGGGTTTCGAGACGAACCCAGCGCCTGGGCTCTGAGACGAACCCAGCGCCTGGGCTCTGAGACGAACCCAGGAGCTTGGTTCGTCTCGAACCAGGCGCGGGTTCGCCTCAAACCCATCCCTGGGTTCCGAGACGAACCCAGGCGCGGGGTTCGTTGTGGAACCCAAGAGCTTGGTTCGTCTCGAACCAAGCGCGGGTTCGTCGCAAACCTGTCCCCTGGGTTCCGAGACGAACCAAGGCGAACCCAGCTCCTGGGTTCCGCGACGAACCCTGCGCCTGGGTTCGCGCAAACCTGAAAAAAAAAAAAAAAAGGAAGGAAAAAATAGCAG